AGAAAAAGTAGTTGAAAATTTAAATACCTTTTATTAAAATATATATTATTATATATTTAGTATGACACTTTTTATTTGTGTGACTTACTTGTGTTATATTATAATAATATTTTTAACTTACAACATATAACTACATTAAACATAAATATATCAACTAGCAATAATTTTATTTTTCTAATAAATTTTAATAAATATTATTATTTTTTATTATTATAAAGATAAATATAATTTATTTATTTTATATATACAATATGGATGTCAAATCGAAGATCATAAAAAGATGATTAATTTGATATATTATATATGTAAAACCGATAAGAAAAATAAATGTTATCAACTTTTAAAATACATTTATAATTCAATAGCTAATTGAAGGAAACAAATCAAAAGTCAGGGATATATTAGTCACTTAGTGTCTCACTATATAAAATTACAAAGATTAAAATGTTATATTAGTACAAGTGATATTAAAATACCTAAGTTAGCTAAATAATATTTATGGAATGTCCGAACCTAGATTATTAATTATTAATATATCAATAATATTTATCCAAACCTAATTACGAAGCATGATTCTTCGCCAAGTAGGATTTCGAAGCACCAGAAGCAGCCGCGTAGGCTCAACGCATTCAATAATTATATATGTGGGGGATTATTCAATTATATGCATCTGCAAATTTATGGGTATGCAATATCTAAAATCATAAGTTTAGTAATGAGAATATCACGTTTTTTTTTTTTAAATGTTATTATTTATAAATTCTAAATTTATTAAAGTTGATTGATGTCAGCAATACTATTTTATTTAAAAATTTCTAAATTTTTCACATAGACTTGTTAAACAAAACGAGCAGCTCGTGAGTATGATTCAGATCGATTCCTTAAGATTCAAATTCGGCTCATTTGATAAACGTCTCATAATCGTATAATGCTCATTTAATGATGAACGAGCATGTCTTATTAAAGGCTCGAGGATAGAGTTATTATGAAGATTTAAACTTTTAGTTTAGTTCAACTAAATCGTCTTGAGTTTAGCTCGTTATTATTCATAAACATGTAGAGTTTGAGTTTATATACTTAACAAACTCGGCTTAATAAATATTCAAGACGAGCTTAGAAAGTATCAGAATTCGAGCTCGACTCGTTTAGGGTTCTCCTTAACTCCATTTTTAACCAAAACAAACGAGTATAATTTGTTAAATAGATGAAAACTTAGTTAATAGAAAACTAACATTTTTTTTCTTTCATGCATGATATTGTAGTAACTATTTTCATATTACTTCTTATAACAAATAACTTTTGAGTGCATGAATATGATAATGCAAACATTTTATTGCACCTTTCTTCTTAGTCATCATCAAGGATAAAATTAGAAAAGATAAAAGTTGTATACTTACATAGATAGTATAAAAAATTGATAAAGACAAAAAAGAGGGGCTAAAAACAAAGAAATGGATATAAAGAAAAAGGATTTGAGGAATCCTCTTAGATCAAGAAAAGGATCTAAGCAAGAAAATAGAAACAAATGGACTCAATTGGTTTCACTTTCACTCTCTTATCATCTCAACTTTTCTTTCTTCTTCCCCCTTTTTTTAGAACATTCTTGTTAGTTACTATATATTTTGTGCATTTATTTATAGGGATCATCAAAATCAAGTTGTTTTGTTTTTTTTTTT